AGTATGTGATTCTGGGATTAAATGGTGTGATTCCTAGGTTTAAATTGTGTGATCCTGGGCTTAAGAGTGCATGATTACTAAATTAGCTCACTGGTTGGTTCAGGATAGTTCTGGGTGTGGATAAAAATAAGGCCCACCCTGGGTGAGAGCGCTACCCACCCTAAGGGTGTGTAGCCCAGATAGGAGATAAAGGACAGCTCCTTCACTGCTTACTGCATTGCTGCCTTCTATCTTCTGCCTGCCATGAACTGTTTCTCCTCTGCCATGCCTCCCTTCCTTGGAGCCAGCCAAGTGTGAACTGAAACCTCTATAAAGTGTCAATCAAGTAAACTTTGAATGTCAGATATTTGGTCTCAGCAAACAGAAAAAGGAATTAATATATCATTAAATGTTAAGGTTTTTTTTTTTTTTTTACCCAAGCAGATAACAAAAAGTAAACCTAGACTGGTCTAATTTCTCAGGAATAGGTGGTGAATTTTACCTCCTATAGTATGAGGAGAGGCCCGGTCTGCTAGTGTAAACACAAAGGCCTAGGCTTTGACAAGGCTTTTTCTGTACACTCTTTTCTCATGATGGTGCCCAATAAAACTAGTTCAGTTTGTTTTTAAGTTTACTGAGTTATTCATATGTGTAAGGAATTGGTGTCACTGAGAGAAATGAAGCATGGATGTCTTTGTTCCTAAATAGCTTAGATGGTAGGTAGAAATAGTGATAGTATGATAGGCAATATAATAGCACCAAAAATATTCATTTCCTAATCCCCAAAATCTGTAAATATGCTACTTTATGTGGCAAAAATGGGGTCACATCTTGAGGTAAGAGAATGACCTAGAGGTAGGTAGGGCATTCTGGATTACATGAATGGATCCTACCTTATCATGTGAGTCCTTAAAAGCAGAGGACCTTTCCTGACTACAGTCAGAGAACAGAAGCATGAAAGGCACCTGTCCTCCTGTTGCTGGCTTTAAAAGCAGAGGAAGGAGCCAGGGATTTAGCCCAGTGGCATAAGTGCCTACCTGACAAGCTGGAGGTCATGAGTTTAATCCCTGGTACCAAGGGAAAAAAAAAACAGAGAAAGGGGCTACTAGCCAAGGAATGTGAGTGGCTTTCAGGTGTTGGAAATGACAAGGAAACAGATTTTCTCCCATGTCCTCTAAAAAAATTTAAAAAAAAACCAAGTCCACAGATATCTTGATTTTAGCCCAGAGGTACCAACATCAGACTTCTGACCTGTGGTACTCCAAGATAATAAATTTTATGATGTAGGCCACCAAGACTGTGGTGATTTGTTATAGAACCAAAATAAGTAAATTGAGATATCACCCCCATGAAGTGAAAAGCAGGTCAGCCTATGGTCAGTGTGTGGAATGGAGACAAAGCCAAGAGTTTTGGGTACTCAGTGTTGGACATGAGTGACAGAGATGAGGGCTTCTGAGTATCCTTGAGGTGTTAGGACTTGGTTAGTGACCAGAAGTAGAAAAGGATGTTTCAAGGGGACAAATACTCAGATCAACATTACAACATTTTTTGTGCCAATGTTTTGAGGGGTGGGAAAGTAAAGTTATGGAGATCTTTAAAAAGTAATATCAATATTTCTGTTCCTATTAGCCTAGCAGCCTAGATATTCAGAAGGGTCTTTCTACTTTCCAACATTGTATGGCAACTAATACATAGTTTAATGTGTGTTACAGGGCTTCCAGAAAATAAAATGACACTCAAAGCCCTTTGTTCTATAGCAGTGACAACAAAAATATGCCAGAAACCTTTTTTTATTACTCGTACTTGTACATTTAATAAAATGTAAGTTAAGCAAACATTTAAAAATCATCTAGAAATCACCAATGAGCTAACAGGGTGGTAAGGAATTACCAGGCACAAGGATGAGAGTCTAGAGAGGTGATGCCAGTACTCATAGTTACTGCTGTCCTGGAGAAGTTTTCCTTCCAAGAAAGGTAGCTGAGACACTGACAACATAAATGAGGAACAAAATGCAATAGTCATTAAAATTAAGACAGTTCAACAGAAACTACAGGAGGGAAGGAGAGAGGTGGGAGGGCAAAAAGACACATGAAGACAGCAACATAAATACTAAGCAAAGACTCAGAATCTGTAATGCATAAGAACTCCAAGGATTCAATAGGGAAAATATAAAAAAAAAAAAAACTTCTGCAGTTATAAACAGGTATTCCACAGAATCAGTAGCACAGATGGAAATAAGCATGGTAAGTTGTCATCAGAGAATGCTATGTGAAAACAAGACACCATTTACGCTCATTTCAGCAAAATTAAGATGTCTGATAACACAAAGCACTGCCTAGACTATCAAGCAATGGTAACTCTTATGCACAACTGGGGAAAATTTATAATAAATTGATGCAAACACTTCAAGGAAAAAATCAGTAAATGTTTTAAATATTTATATACCTTTCTCGGCACAAACCATCAAATCACGAAGAGCGTGGGGAGAAATTCAAGCTAATAATAACCTCCAGCCAAGATTGACATATCCTGCACAACTGTCCCTAGAAATTGATGGAAAAACAAGTTGCTTCCAGGATAAAGAGGAACTAGGGGAATTTGCAACCACCAATTCAACTCTACAGAGATTACTGCAGGATATTCTAAAAATGAAAAATACCAAGATTCTAGAAACAGTGGCAGAGAGGCCACAATGAATGGAGCAGAAAGCGAAATGAAGAAGACAAACTGACAATTAATGACAGAAAAAGAGCTCAACAGAAATGAGGCAGAGAAGGTTGGATGGTAGGAACAGCCATTTTGGAGAAAACAAGACATCATAATAGGTAGTTCTGATTTAATATCCTCTTGTTTTGAAGTCCCATCAAGCTTTTGTTCTTCTGTCTCCATCGGTTTTAATGTGTTGTACCTTATTGGATTTTATTATATGTAATAATGTAAACAAAAACTTTTATAGACAAGGAGATTATACAGAAACCATTGTTCATTTTCTGTTAGTTGACTCTAAATACCCTGTAATACTGTCATTGTCTTGAATGGTTTTACATTGTCTTGATATGTTTGATGCTACAGTATACGAAGTTATACCCAAAGATTTTAAGGGAAGAGACACTATGGTAACTACTACTATGTCGAGATTATCTTGTGGTGAAACACTATTTTGCTTAAGTGGCTATGTTTTGACCTGCACTGTTTTGTTGTTATGCCCTCTTTTTTTTAATCTTAATCTCCTTTTTATTATCTACTTTTTCATTTTTATCCTTTTAATTAAGGGAAAAATAAAAAAATAGCAGGATATATTATAGTAACCCACTTTGATTTCCTATTAACTTGATTTGAAACTCTGTATTGCCCTTACCATCTTGTTTTGACTGATTTTCCTCTATTCTGTTATGCTAGATAGTACCAAGTTTGAAAGTATAGGCAACAACTATGAAGACAATAAGATTCATTGTGACGCCCATTCTGGTTGACTATTATCTTCTTTTGAAGTCCTCTAATGTCTCCAATGTTTTGGTTTTATTGGTCTTATTCTTTACTATTTTGTTCAATTTTATTATAACTGATGATATAGGCAATTCTTTTTAAGATAACAAGAGGCATTATGGTAACCATTGTTGATCATCTTGTAGTTTGTTTTTACATTATATATTATGTCCATCCTTTTGATTTGACTGACTCTGTCCTGGTATGTCACATTTGGTTTTACTTTCTTCAAAAAAAAAAGTAATAAGAACTGTGGGAGTAATAAAACCCAAAATGTATAATTGTCATTGTACAAAAGAAAGTTCTCTAAAAGATATAACTGCATATATATTTAAGTGTATAAGATAGATAACCATATTACTGAGTTTTGTTGGATCATTGAACAAAACTGTTTGCAGTCTCACTGTTTGAAAGTCCCCTCTATATGCTTTAATTTTGTAACTTCAACAACTATTTCTAAGATGACAATATGTAAGTAACTAGTGATTTCCTACTGTTTATTTTTTCTGAAATTCTGTGTAACTTGTACCCTTTTTCTGTTTTTTTTCTTTTTTCTCCTTAAATAATATTTAAAAAATATTTATATACCTTGCAACCCACATAAGAAGAAGTTACTTTTGGGTATATATTCTAGAAAGACACAAGAATGTACAACCAGACATATGAATAAAAGCATTCTTACAACACTGGTTAAATAGTAAATAAAAATGACCTTGATCCTAGTAATGGTTAAGTATGTTGTATATGTTCACACAATTATTATACAGCTATGAAAGTAAATACGCATGAACAATAATTTAATAATCTAGCAAATTATGAAAGAAAGTTTCTAAAGCTCAAAAACCTACTAACAATTTAGGAATACATTAATATGTGGGAAAACACATCGATTATTTATATCATTGAATGAAATAGCAAATTCCAGACTACTAAACACCATTTTTACAAAGGTCTAAAATAAACAAAACTAAATCTCTATTTTTTTAGAAACCCACAAGAGTTAAATTCAGTTTCCCATGTAAGTTACATATAAGAACCAAAAGTAACAACAAGTGCAAATTACAATATTGCAGACCTGAAGCAGAGTGAAGGGGCCACACAGGAGCTGTAATCGAATCAGTAATGCCTGGTTCATTCTCTAGGTAGTGTGTTCACCAGTGTTTATCTCATTCTCATATTTTTAAAATGCCATCATGTTGCATATATTCTTTTATAGTGCTAAATATTACATAATAAAAGTTTAATTTTAACTATAAAATTACAGTATTATTTTTGCCAAGATTGCTGTTCAATAAACACTTTTTTAAAGAGTTGAACTTGAATGAGGATCACAAGTCTGAAAGGAAAAGGTGTGCTGTGAGATGATACATACAAATGCTGTCTGCCTTCTGCGTCCAACAAACTGAAAAGTCCCACTCATATTTTGAAGGAAGGACATTAAAAAGTTGTCTTATTTAAATAAAAAGTTTAATCACACAATGATGGTTTTGTTACCACACATACTGAAATATAAGGAAACAACAGTTTAGAATGCATTCGAGTTAAGTAATTTTTATTTAGCTTGATTTCTCTTTATGATCACTTTTACAGCATCTGCTGTAAACATGCCTTCGCTCTTCCCCCTCCTCACTCAGCATTCATGCACATACATGGCCCCTCGAAGTTCAAACCTAAGTTTCCCCACCACTTACCATTCATTACTGACAGGGTGATGTGTGAGTGTTGGGGGAGTGGGAGCATGTGCAGGGTGGGGTTTGATCCAACATAATACAAATAATAGGAAGAAACAGGTATAAGAATCATACTACACATTGTTAAACAGAACTGCATACTGAAGTTAAATACCCCTTAATCCAAATTCACACACTTTCAGTTGGGTGACAGTTGACAAGCTACTAAAAGTGTCAGATTCTTAGCTTTGTAATCTTTTTTAAGCAGTTAATATATCTACATCTTACAGTGGACTGAAATTTCAATTAACTTGTAAATTATAAATTCTTATATATTTCAACATATTGCTTCATTTGTATTGTGCTCTTTCCAGACTTTCAATATAGATAGGCAAGTTTACTTGATCATTCTTTAATGCAGACATCTTGACAGTCCTTTTCACTGTAGAAGCGATTTCCTGAGCCATTACAGCCACTGAACCAAAAGCGGGCACAGGAGTTGACCTGTTTGTCATAATACCATCGAACCACATAATCACCACAGTTCCCAGGCCTCAAGGGTTCCAAACATCTCGGATCTAGGGTAAGAAAAAGATGTGCAGTAATATCAGAGGTTTTCTTTTCACTGAAGTAGTGAAATATAACAGCCTTATGAAATTATGTAAGAAAATTATCCCTTATGCACATTAACAGATCAATTAAGAAAATTAGTGAAACAATTCAATAATATTCAAAATATTCTGCCCACCACTTGAAACTCTACTAATAGATATTCATTCCTTAGGAAACAAAAGCTTTTGATCTTTATGAAACACTATTAAAAATGCACATTTCCCTGAAAGCATTATAAAACTTCATTGACTAACACCGACAGGAGAAAGATGGGATTGCCTTCATTTACTTTGAGTGTTATTTAAAATCAACTTAATAGGTGAAGGGTCAATGACCTCAGCCTTCCGGGACCTTTCCTTACAGTTTATTCCTAGAGAACACTACTAGGATCACAGTGTGGCTACTGAAAGAGGAACACCCTTAAAGCCACTAAAAAGTAAAATGAGCTTTCTATATCACAATTCTCTATTAAAAGAGAGCTCTAACAGGACACTAAAAATAATATATAACTTCTTACATCAGTTTACGAATAAATTTCAGAAACACGCCTACTATAAGAAAAAAAAAGAAAGTCAAATTAAAAAGGTTCCTTTAATCGTGGAGTTTCTAATTTATTAAATCCACGTTGATAAGATAATACTCCATATTGCCTCAATTCCTATTTCCTGCCTGAAGGTGTGATTTCAAAATGAAAAGTTCCAGAATAAAAGACCAAATAGACAATTGTTATCTAGGGCTTTTATTTTTGAGCTAGTTTATATGTTGTTAGTTTCATTTCTCTATAGTAAAACCAATCCCTTCTCTATTGATTTAGAGTATATCTTGAATCATGTATCAGTGATTATGCTAAATATCAATATTTACTGATATCAATATCAATTATGATTGATAATGATTAATCGTTTTCAAAATCTAACCTCCTCTAAAGCTTCTTTAGACAAATGGAAAGTAACAGACTTTTATTACTTCTGTCCTTAAAAACTAACATCTATCATATGACTTTTTTACAAGGCAAACTAAGGTTCTTCAGGACATGAATATTATTTCTTTCACATATTTGCAAAATATATGCATATTATGATGTCTTTTCTATATGTATTAGCTCCATGGAACACATTCTAATGGAATCAGAATGTAAATTTCAGCTTTTTCTTTTTTCTGTCATCAATGAAGGGCAGGTACAAGACAACAGGGAACAGCTGGGATTACAGCAAACAGGACAACACAATCTTCTCTAAAGGTATTCAAATTAAAATAAGAATACCTTCTCTAAAGGTATTCAAATTAAAATAAGAATTTTAAATACTTATTATCAAATTTATTCTACACCCAGCCAGTTTCCAATTCTTCACATAAGTCGGTGACAAATCTCTTTGTCTTTCCTATTTACAGCCGTGGTAGATGAGATTTAAGAGTCCATTCTCACTGTGCCTTCCTCATATGAGCCATACAGCAGCTGGTTGGAAGATATTTCTTACCTTTGTGCACCAAATTTTCCACCTCTGATGTCCAAACAGAACTTGGAGTTCTGGTGCTCATGTCCCCAGAGGTGCTAAGAGATGGCCCAGGAGTGGTGGCAACCTTGGAGGAGACAGTGGTGGCCAAGCTTTCAGCCCAGGTAGGCTCAGGTGGTTCATTTTCTTTTTCCTGACCTGCAAAGACAGTGAACTGCACACACACACACACACACACACACACACACACACACACACCACATCACATTTTAGTTTTTATAGTACCAAAAATGACAAAAGAGCTAGTTTTCTTGGGAAACACTTCAAGAAAAGTTCAGCATTACTGTGACTCCTTAACATTCTGATACTATTCCAAATGCAGGCTCAGGAAATAATGCCCTTTCTCTACATCATGCATCATTAGACTGCATCTAGGTTGTGTATTTTCCCACATTTTGTGTGGGTCTCTGTACAGGCACATATACTTCCCACTGCCAGAGACAAATGCTTTTGGGTTGAGTCTTTTGAAGAGATCTGCATGCAAGGCATGAAAGACGTGAGCCTGGGAGAGACTTATTATCTTCATTTTTTCCTCAGTCTCTGATATGAGGAAAATAACCAGGCCAAAAAAAGTATAGCCCTTTTCACTCCATTTTCTAATATTATAAATTTTTAAAAATGTATTCTGAATCAGCTGCAACAAAACCAAACCATTCTGAGACTGGGAATCGGGGTGACAGAGGACAATAACACAGTTGACATAAAAATACAAATAGCTATCTCTTGCCGTCTCATTTGACTGCTTACCCAATCTCAGCTGAAAACACCTTTTGCCTGCCCTTCCTAATATCCAGACCCCAACTATGTCCAAATGCTATAAAGAGCTTAACTTCTAAGAAAATTGTCTGAAACTGTCTGGCATCTAAGTCATAAAGGATTATAATTTCAAAAGCAAATGTTCAGGACTTAAATTTCCAGGTTTCATTTAAATACATGAGATGTAATGAAGTAAAGAAGAAAAGCACTTTGCAGTTTTAAAAGGAAAGTCACGCCAGTTTTCTTGACCATATTTTCAGGAGTTTGGCAGACAGTCAGTGGGAATAATTGCACCTTCCTTTTTTACGTTTGGATTCCAGCTACACAGGGTTAAGCCAATCGTTCTCCTGAATCGTGACCAGGTATGGACATTTGTCCTCACGAGGCCCTCTCTTCATATGTTTGTTTCTTATGTATCTAAAAAGGTAAATCAGTGCACTAGGTAGTTTTTTATGCTTTTTTACCTAGGGTTCCTGACATACCATGACCTGGTTCTCTGATCAGAGCCAGCAGGCACTGTTCACTGGTCTCTGCCATGTAAGCTATTCAACTGCATTTGATTCTGCACACATAGACACACACACACACACACACACACACACACACACACACACACACTGCAAGGGGGAAGAGCTAATTAATTCTATTATGATTTTTTTTTGTACCAGGGATCAAACTCACAACCTTGCCCTTGCCAGGTGGGTGCTTATGCCACTGAGCTATATTCCCAGCCATTAATTCTATTATATGTATATATGTTGTCACAGTAAGCACCACCAAGTCAGAGCATCTATTTCTATGAAGATTGATCATCAGCCCTATAGTACATTTTCACTGGCTATAAAACACAATCTTTGGTTTTAAAAAAAAGAAGGTAAAACTACATTCTCTTAGGCTGACCCTGGGTGGAACATGACAATTTGAATATCAACTTTTGTTACAAAGAACAAAACTAGAGAATTTTAAGGATAAACTTTCAGTCCCTCATTCCCCACTTCAGAAGACTGTGAGAGGCCTGGTCTCCAGAAAGAAAAAAAGAAAGGTTTTCCTTGCACATACATCATTTTGAGCAATAAGTGAGTTTGAGAAGCAGTTTATCAAAGGTACATGCGAAGTGACATTAGTCCACATTTCAGATACACTGCACACTGAGAATGTTTCTTTGTAGAAGTACTTTGGGCAGTATAGTCTTCTTAAAGGAGTTTACTCAGCCTTTGAATCTTGAGTCTGGAAGCTTCATAAGTTATTTTCTACCTCTTGCAAGTATGTTCATTGAATAGAACTTTAGAAAATATGAACAAGCAAAAAGAAAATAAATATAGGATGTAATTCTATCTATGAGATACTATACTAGTTATTTATATATTTTTCCCAGTCTTTTTTTCTATATGCACAGATTTTTAACCAAAAAAAGTTGTATGTTTCATCTTCTGCATGATAGGCTGTTTATTTTTTCATTTAACATGGTCATATCATATATTTAACTGTTACTATAACATTATTTTAAATATAGAACATACATAATCCAATGACCTTTAAGGAAATTTATTTCCTTTGTTTCTGTTATAAATGTCATGGTCATTTTCTAGGTTAATGAACATATATAATTTAGTCTTTTGAGAAAAAGTCCTCTCCAAATTTTTTTTTTTACAAATTTTTACACTCACTCCCTTTCCTAAATAATCACCATTTATTAGCTGTCCTGGTTGAAAAATTAGATAATTGTCGGTTTGATGGGTAAAAATTTCTCCAGCTAATCTGCAGAGCCCTACCACAAGCTGTCTCCTCCACCAATTATACCCTGGCCTTCCCCCAATCTCTGCCCTAATTCTCCATTTCTACTTCCTCTTCATTCTGCCTCAGGCTCTCAAATCAACCTTTTCACAATAGGCCAGGAAAAGCTGAACTCTACCTGTAAAATTTGCAATAACCAGTCAGCACTGTTTCTCCCTTTCTAGATAGTGCACAGTACTTTCTCACCGTCCTATACTTGGCTCTCAGCATATGGAATTTCACCTGCAAGCCTATTCTACTGTAGGAGAAGATAGAAGCCCAAATATGCTGCTTTTGCATATTATTTGAGCTCAAAGCAACTGACAAATGAAAGAAGCTGATATAAGAAAAGCTCTCTACCCTCTCTGTATTCTCCTAAAAGCAAAACACAAATTTTAAAGTTGAACCCTCTTCTCTCTACCAAGAAGCACAGAGTTAATCACTGGAGGTAACTCTACATCCTAGTCCAGAGACAGTACCTGAACACTTCGCACAGCAGATTTATGTAGCTCTTGTCTTGCACTAGTTCTCCCATATATTCGCTCTCCCATGATTTGGTACCCTCAAAACCCAAAGGCTTTTTCCTTTGCCTTGTCATTGTCTGCAAATGTATTGTTCTTTTGTGAGGGTGCCACACAAGCTCACAGTGCTCTCTGCCCCTCTGTTACTTATCATGGAGTGCTCCTATGTGTACATATGCTGCACATGTTAACACAGTTCTGCTTGTTTTCCTCTTGTTAATCTATCTTTTGTCTGCCAAATTTAAAGAGTTCCAGACAATGGATTTACCAGAGTAGAGGGGGAAAAATGTTTCTTTCTTCTACCATCTTATACTGTTTTCCATTTTATATGGATGTCACATTTCTGATAAGTTAAGGTATGCTACTTCTTGCTTGCTTTCTTACTTTCCTACTGTTTTCTTTTAATCTCTATAAATAAGCAAATAGTAGCTACTAGATAAATTCGGGGGGTTAGAGTCTATTATACTCAATCTAGGTTGAACTTAATAAAGCACAGGGCACACCAAGGAAAGACAACTTCAGAGGGTCCAAATTCTCTAGGCACTAATGCCATACTTTTAAAATAATAATAGTCCCTAGCCTAGCTTCCAGCTATAAGATTTTATTTAAGGAACAAATTTAAGTGGCAGAATAAACACCAAATTCATGGTAATGTTTGTCTCTGGACAAAGGACAATACGCTCCAGGAGAAAACAAACTCAGAATTAAACTGTGAGTGAACCAGTGGAAACCCTGGTTACTCATGGGGGACACTCAGGTGTTTGTTATATTGTGTTTTTAAAAACTGATGTTCAAACACAAGCCCACCTACAGATCTGTGTATCTCTGCTCCTGTCTTGGTGGAGAGGGTGGCTCCAGCTCCATGCAGGGGTTAACCTTAGTAAAAGGTGCAGAACAGGAGTCTAGGGGATGTGGGGAGCTGATACTGATAGTGCTCACAAAAAAACAATACATTTACAGACAGTGACAAGACAAGACAAGACAAGACAAGTCTTTGGGCTTCTAGGAGCAGAAGTGTTAATCACTATGCTCTTATAGCTGCTCTTTGAGGGGAGCAAAACATACCCAGTGTAGCATCCCTAAACCATGAATGCGTGAGCTAGGAATTGCCAGCCAGGCAACACACCCTTCTACAACTTTGGTTTTGATTTCCAAACATTTTTCTCATAATTTATTATCTGGAGTCTGGCATATATTATAGACAAGCTCTTCAAGTCTGAGCTCATGTCTCCTCTCAGTGAATGCTAATGATCCTGTACATTAGCTCCTATGATCAAGCATTTTCCAAGCAGTGAGGGTCAGAATTTCTCCCATCTGGTTGTGACAGATTCTGCCACTATCAGAGTGATCCACAGCCAGCACCTTCCAAGCTGGAGGCGCCTCCTTGATAGACTCCTCCTAGGGGTCAAGAATGCTCTGAAGGTCTCTTACCACATAAGTGTTTAAACTAAAAGCTTTAATTTGCATTTCAAGGTTATAAAACTTCAAAAACACCTTAGGCTTGGGCTGCATCTCCCAAAACTGACTCCTCTTCCACAGAGGTGGGATGCAGGATTCTACTCTGTTCATGGTAAACCCCTCATTGCTTAGTCTAAGGCCAGTGAGGACAGCATTGCTCAGCAAGTGATTTTGCTGCTATAATTGTGTGCTTTAAAACAGGAAGAATACTCTGATAATAACCCTTCATTTTATAGACAGGGAACCTGAGACCTCAAGAAAAGAGATGATTCTCCCCATGTCATACAGGTCTCGGATTTCACTTCTAGAATGCCATTTGTCATGAGACAACATGATAAATTATTTTTAAAAGATCACATATATTAAAGAGAGGCAATTCAATTTCAAAAATAATAAAATAGGAAAAATATAGTTGTTGAAGCCCAGGGAATAAAATATTTAGATTCAGTAAGGAGACTACAAACCAGGTTTTCTGACTATCTGGGTCTGGGATATTTCTTCTCCATCAAATTGCAACATTTTGTTGTACTTCTCTTTCCCTCCATATGCTAGCAGTATATTTTAGAAGTAATAAACCTATTATTAGTATTATATATGCTTACAAATCAATTTCACACAGCAACACTAATGATTAGTTGATATATAC